GCATAGGCACAGGAAGTGGCGATTGGTATGACCAGAACCAATGGGTTGATGTGTATGTCTTGGGCTAACTGTGCGGCCACTGGTATGAGTATTGTGGCCGTCGCTGACGTTCGCATCACTTCTATCAGTGATGTCGATATGATGGACAACAACACAATGAGGGCACTGATGGGTAAGGAGCCTACCAGTGCTAGCTGTTGACCAATCAATCGTGACAGGCCTGAGGACTACAAGAATATAATATAGTTTATATGATATATAGATATATAGATTCATAGATTCTGTACAGTATATATAGATATATAGATTCTGTACAGCATATATAGATTCTGTACAGTATATATAGATATATAGATTCTGTACAGTATATCAAGAATTATTAAAATAATTAAATGTAAAGCAATTGATACATACGCTAACGGCATCTGCCATTGAGAAACCGCCGCCTCTAAGGATAATAACCCCCCACTCGAGCTTTGTCTGCACTGTCTTCCAGTCCAACAAAGCACCGGAAGGGTATGGACCGAAAGGACGGGCAGGGATTATAAACAATAGCATTGTGCAGAATATGGCAGCGCCGGCAGGTTTAGGTTTAATGTTGTTTATGGATAAAAGTCGGGACCAACCGGTCATGAACTGCGGGTCGTGAGTGAAGTACAACAAAATCATTGTCACAAATACAGCCAATACTGCAAACTCGTGGAAACTGCAGCAAAATAAATAGTAATTGTATTTAAAATTATAATAAAATAAAATTTTTGCATTTAAATGAGTTAAACAAATGCAGTAGTTTATAGTATTCATAAATTAAATCAAAAGTGTTTTATTCATAAATTTTTGAAGCAAACACACTATCCATTAATTTAAATGTAATTATTGTTTGTAAGGACTTATTAAGCTATTTATATAATGTATGATATATTCCTAATTAATATTCAAGAAAACAAGTGACAGACATATAATATATTTGAGAAATAAATTAAGGGTTTTATAATATATGCAATATTAGTAATTAAATCACAATTTAGATAATTATATTGCATTTAATATACATTTATGAATAATGAAGACATTAACTAATTATATTTAAATATCCAAATATATAGTATTTTTTGTTTTTAAATGTTTTTAGTTTTGTCAAAATCTAGAAAATATGTTAATATGAAAATGAGACACAAATTAATAGTTTTTTATTGTAAAAGATATTCATTTTAAATGAATATTCTTTTGTTTTGTTCATAAATTACAGAGCTTCATTGTCATTTCATATATCATTCAGTTAATTAAGTGTAAAATTTAAATTGTATTGATTTGAATTTGACATTTCGTAAATCATACATTAAATTATTACACAATAGGTAACGTAAGAAAATTCATTGGAATAAAGTACTAGATACAACTTATTCTAATTATTTTTAAAGTTTAAATTAAATTAAATGATAATAATAAGAAATTTGAAAGCATGGATATTTATAATTTTTAAAATGTACTGTATATGAATGCTAAGTTTATGGTGTTTTATGATTATCATTTAGTTTAGGTTATGATTTAGTTTAAGAAATTAATGAAAAGTACTAAAAGAGGCATTTATTTACTGTACAGTATAGAAAGGCAACATTCTGTGACTTATCCAAAGTATTTCGTGTTATTGATAATCATATCTTAATATTTAACTCATTAGTTAAAAGACAGATTAAGAGTACTTCATTTGGCATTAACTTTAAATTTATTGTTTATAAATTCACAAAAAAGGTTATAATGGATTTTTGTTGCTTAAACGGTTATTATTTTGTAATAAACAAAAAATTTTCATTAACACCAAAATTTGTTAAACTATGTGAAATGATTTGAAAACTATGAATTATTGGATTCATTTGAAACTAGTGTTATTTTGCATTTGTTTCAATAATTGTCTTTATAATTGATTTTCTACTTCTGTTATAAACAATTACCCACTAATTGTATAATTGTGTCCAATTATTCATGAGTTATGTGCAGAGGGGTAGGGGTACTGTTCAACACAAATATGCCTTAAATATACTTTATGTACTATGCATGCAATATACTGTACTTTTAATAATTTTTAATAACCAATATTATCTAAAATATAAATATCGATAATTTATTTTGTAAAATTATAGAAATTATTTTTGAAAATATACTTGTCCCCTTTTCCTTGATAATAGCAGGTATTAATTATGAAGAATTTACACGAATGAGCAGTAATTAAATTAAAGCCAAATAAATAATTGCAAACCGTTTAACAAAGTGAGACTTACGTGATTGGACCCAATTTCTCATACTTTTTCCTAATTATATTCCGTAAAAGCAGACGTTTCTCTTTGGGCACCGATATGTTCCTGTTCATTTCAAGCTTATTATTATTGAAGTCATCCGTAAGTAACAAATCATATCAATTATACTCTTTTAAAACATTTTTGAAAGAGTATTTCTAAAAATAATACTAAATTTAAATTATTGCTTACCTTATAAATAATATTTTATAGATTAGCCAGCACACCAGTGTAATTATGATGGAGACGGGTGCGGCGAATATGAGCCAGCTCGCGTAGTCTATAGGATCACGACTATCATACAGCCTATCAATACAATCAAAATTAAGTATTCTTATACAGTGTTTGGTTGAAAATTTATTAAGAATGTTATTGATCTTAGCAAATATTTTTAAAATTTATTTTTAAATTTTGATTGACTTTTTAAAAATTCCTTATTATACATGTATGTATATATTCTTTAATTAATCAATAATATACGTATAAAAGTACAAATCATTATACTGTATGATTCTTGTCAAATCATTATATGATTATAGATTATATTAGTACAGATTCTTGTGACTAATCAATGAATCTTTATATTTTATTTGAATACCAATTGACAAGTAATTAGACTTTCATTTTGGGTGTTTTTTCAAATTACATTAAAAGTCATTAACACTTTAATTGAGTCATGATTTTCCTATTGAATGCTATTCTTTGTTATCATTACAGCTGACTGTCCTTCAAGTGCTAACAAATATACAAATATTTAATACTTTGTATATCTTTTAATAGTTGCAAACGTGAGTGAATTAATTAACAAAGTACCCAATAAGTGCTAAAACTATTAAACTATAATTATTGTTCAATTGATTAATTGATTCACAAGTGAAGTTCAAGTGTGTTCACTGATTTCTGTACACTGATAAATTATCTCTGATAAAACTTTTTGGAAAAATTCTTAAGAAATCATTTTCCAAGAGATAATGTGTTCATTAAATTTATCTAAAAAAGCGATTTTTATTAAACAAAAAACTAATTATAGAATAAATCATAAAATATTAGAAACAAGTCTTACTCTTCGAGTATGAATTTCATGATAAGATTAGGTCCGTTGGCGGTGAGAGTACTGACGCCGCCCATAGTGGCTGAGTAGGCGATACTCAGATACAATAGTTTACTCAATCGGTTGCGTTTCACGGCATCGATCTCTTCATCAATGGTAACGACTGTCGATAATTGAGTTTTACTGCAATCCTTGAGCAGATCCTTGTGGTCGTCGTTCTGGTTGTTGTCGGGGAACAGATGGGCCAGTATTTCATCGGCTATGGGCAACATCATGGCTACGGTGGCTGTGGTGACGATCCACATGGATAGCATCATTGTCGTCAACATAAAGCCCAACAAAAGCCATTCAAACTGAGTGCCGATTTTGAGTAATACTTTCAGTGCTATTCTCTGATGAAGATTAGACTTCTCGACGGCCAGTGCCAGTGCCAGACACCCAAGGAATAGCATATTACTGCCTATATTTAGCATTCATTATATCATTTAGATTATGAAATTATTTTAATATAATTTATATGCATTTTTAAGATACACATAATATTATAAATCATGTGTGATATAGTGTGACATTAATTCAAGGGATAATTATTTTAGAGTTTAATTTAAATATTTATTTTGTTATCTATAAGTGTCTAATAAATGTACTGAAAAATTATCCATAAAAGTAAATAAATTATTGTTTAACAGTTTTTAACTGATAATAGCAGTCATTTATGTCACATAAACTGTTTAATTAATGATGAATTATAAGTGTTATATAAAAGATCACTACTTATGCTCAATAAGTTCATTGAATTTCTATCAAAACCGATATTCTCTGGTCTTTGTTTGCATTTCTTTAATTGAATTTTATTATTATAATTATGATTATTAATTTAATTTATGTTATAAGCAAAGAGAAATTATATTTTAAAATTTAAAATTTTAACATTTAATGTTTTTATGATTATTTGTCAAATACCTTATAATTTTATGAATCTATAAAACAAACCATTTATATGAGAGAAAAATTTAATGTGTTAAATAAATCAATATGATTTCGATAAGTATAGCATTGAACACATTTTTGTGATTTTGAAATAGCAATTTCAGGACATTTTAGTAAATTGTACTGAATATAAGTGATTAATGAATTAGTGAGTGCGTTTGTAAAACTAGTATAATACTATTATAAACCAGATAAATTTAAGTAGTTTAATACACAAGTGCCTTATTTGTGTTACAGTATTAGACATAACAAGGTTAACCATGTCATTGTGTCGCTAATAAATAGGCAAACAAATGACTAATAAAAGATAATATAAATTTGGATTATTAAACAGTAAAAATATCAATTCAAGAATATATCCATGGTGTAAAATTTAAATTGTTTATTAAAATTTATAGATAATTACATACTGATGCTTACTAGTATATTGATAATATTTGCATACAGAATATGACGAGAAAATAAAGCATTATTTGTAATAAAGATTGAATAGAAAGCAATACATACTCTTAAGAAAGGGGGCACAGGCCTCCTCAGTGGACGTCAGTCCCAGCAGAGGTAGCAAAAGAACAGGTAACAGTGCCGTTATGGGCAGTGGTATGGGCTCTGTAGCCCAATATATGGCCATTAATAGGACCAGGTATGCACATCTCGATTCGGGTGCCGATGTACTGGTAATTAAAGGCAATAACAATAACGGAGTGACTATTAAGACAAGAGTCCGCCACCGGTTTAAGGCAAATGCCAACCATTTATTAAAAAAATTCATTTTATTCATTTACACGATTCAATAAATATATAAATATATAGACTCTAATGAAAAGTCTGGAGACTATTTTGAATGCTATGGAAAACTTTTGTTTTGCTAATTTTGAGCATCAAAACAAAATCTAATGATTATATGAAGTGAGAGCTGAGTTTGAATTTGAATGATAAGAAGCATTCACAGAATGGCTGTATTTATATCTCGGTGTTCAACAAAATTCAATTCAATTTTCTTATGTTTCAAATTTGATTGAAGTCTTAATCAGTGAACACTTTGTTTATCAGTTTATCATGTTCATGTTTATCTTTATCATGAATGTAAGCCTTTTATTGAGACATACATTGATGTTTAAATTAAATATAGTGTTAAGGGCTTTAAGTAATAAATTAAATAATAATTAATTGATAATCAATTAATTCATTAAAAAGTCTATTCAAAACTTTTTATAACCATTAGCAACAATTTATATAATCAATAATGCAATTTGTCCAGGTATATTCTTAAAATTCCTGTTATCCATGATAAATATAATGACAATTATTTGACATTATGTTGCTATTTGTCAGTCTGAGGCACCGGTAATATTGATGGCCAGGGATTATCAGAACAAACTAAGAATAATTATGTAGTTCACTGCCGAAACTCATATTACCAGAAAGGGTGTACACCCTCAGTCTATGACAGGGGAGGGTCCAGGGGGTGTGTCTTTAAAATGATTATTTTGATTAATATATTTTGAGTTTAAAATGATATTTTAACAAAATGTATGTAAATGTAAATAAAATTATTATACGGTATGTATTTTAGCAATATTTCACTAAAAATATATTACTATATTTACTATATATTACTAAATATATGATAATTCAATAAGATGTACGCGCTGGTTAGGGGGGGTCAGGTGAAAAGCGTATGTTATTTTGGTAGAGGGGCAAGCTTTAGTGAACGTTTTTATTAATTTGTAATAGATATCAAATTACACATCGTTTACTTTTTTGTATAAAAAACATAATCATTTGTATTATAATATTAGAATCTTTAAAAAAATATTTTAAATGGTATAGAATGTAGAATTGGACCCAAAGTGAATGGCAGTGCAGTGACCCCCTCTGCCCCCCTCTGCCCTCTGACCCACCACTCAATCAAATCTCTTTTGGTTGGACTCACATTAACCTCCAAATCATTTTGATTGAGATATTGGCGGAGATAACAGAAATAACTGATGGATTTAACGCACAAATAATTTTTGCACTCAAAGTTTCAATGGTATTTCACTTGATCGCCGTCCACTTGCATCACGTGATTGGCCAGTGAGGAGATACTGTCGTATTCAGTGCATTGATTTAGGAGTTTTGGGGCAATATATTGATGAATGACTTATAAATAATAGAAACGCAAATTGAATAGCTCATTTTTAGATAGTGAAGTAAACGGCAAAAATATATTATTTAATATGTTTAATTTTGTATGAATTTTGTACAATTTAAAAAAAGCTCAAAATATTGGTTATATTGGCCCCAAAAGACCTAAAAACCGAAAAGACTTAAACTCAAATAACTAACTGACCAGTGGACCAAACCTTACCTAATTTAAGTCAACTGATAATTGGTCAGTTAGTTATTTGAGTTTAGGTAAGTCCTCAAAATATTGGACTTTAGATTCTGCATACAAATGTTTGTATAAAAATATTTTTTATATACCTGTGATTGAGAGTCTGTATTGATAGCATTGATTACAAATTGTAATGTAAATCGTGAATAAAGTCTAAACATTGATGTTTTTATAGAAAAGTATTAATGGTGTGGGAAAAGGGGTTTTATGATTACATAATTTAAATCCTAAGGAAATATTGATAGTAAGACTTAAAGGATAGGGTATCACTGGCAGTGGCCACCATTGAACCACCATTTAGCTATATCCCTCTTTTTAGTATTCACACCAATATAGTATTCATTTAGATTAAGATGTTTGCAAAGTTCGCAAAATTGGTTCACATCTTGAACACAATAATCATTCTTCCAGTGAAAGTAGGAATCGTATCGTTCCTTATCAATGGCCACTTCGATCAGATGATCGGCGAGTGTTGTTATCGTTGGGAATTGCAAGGCATTGATGTATGAGTTTGGGGGCAGTATTGCCGTATAGTTGGCCGAACCGAAGACAATTGGGATTATATCGTATTTCATGGCATTGAATAACTTTTCAGTCACATAGTCTTTACAGAGCTATAAGAATAAATAAAATAAAAATTAATAAAAATTAAATATTAATATAGTAAATACAACAATAAGTATTATTAAGTCTTACAGAATTTTCAAACGATAAATAAAACTTATAATTTTTTTCAATGAAATCAAAACACGAGTAATATCCTCGGGAACAGTTGAATGGTCCGCAATCACCATATATATCAACGTCTAAATACCTCTGCAGTTGTTTTACTAATACTTCCCGTTTGGATGAAGTGTTACAATGACTGACAATCCAAGCCATATATTTATGTTTGTTTTTATAAATATAATTTGGTTTCCATTTAGTCTTGCATTTAGTGACCAAACCATAAGGTCTGTAGATATCTGAATCAGTCCTATAACTCATTACCCAATCAATTGAGTCAAAGAGACGAATATCAGATTTTTTATGCGGATATTTCATGTATGTATATACAGGCGATTCCATATTGAAGAGAATCCATTTCTGATTCAATGGTTTAGTCTTCGGAATATCAGTCATATCAATGTCTCTCCAATGAAATAATATTACATCACTTGAGTCCGTAAGCTCTCTATTGTTAATGACCATACAATTAGAGTACTCGCACTTCTTGATATCACTTGTATGCCATTTTTTCTTGTAATTTGTTGTCCACAAGAGAATATTGAATGTCTTATTCTTATGATAATTGCTATTATTTAAAGAGTAGGGCACAATTGATTTTTGATAAAGATTTCCATTAATATATTGTTGTATTAATGTTCCGTTAATATATAGTGATATGATTATAAATGCAAGAAATACAAATTTTATGGCTCTCATATCGTTCATTATGAAAATCAAATTATATTTTAGTCAATAATAAGTGAAGTAAAATTTATCAAAAAATAATTGATGTTTTATTAAATATTACATTAATTTTTAAAAGCAATAAAAACTTTTAAAATATTGGACTTTAGATTATACCTGTGAATGTTTTTATATAAATTATTTGATATGATTCGAGTGTCTGTTTTGATAACATTGATCACAAATTATAAATTATAATATAAACTATTTCATATTATTATTAGTATTGCGTAATTACAATCTAATTGTGTACTGATAAATAAACTCAAACGAGCTGGATAGTTTGGCAGTGGGCATCATTGATCCACCAGGACACTATATCCCTTTTTCGTGTACTGACTCTAGTTTTAACTGCATTTAGATTAAGATGTTCGCAAAGTTCGCACAAATAGTCGACATCTTGAACACAATAATCATTCTTCCAGTGAAAGTAAGAATCGTATCGATCCTTATCAATGGCCACTTCGATCAGATGATCGGCGAGTGTTGTCATCGTTGGGAATTGCAAGGCATTGATGTATGAGTTTGGGGGCAGTATTGCCGTATAGTTGGCCGAACCGAAGACAATTGGGATTATATCGTATTTCATGGCATTGAATAACTTTTCAGACACATAGTCTTTACAAAGCTATAAGAATAAATAAAATAAAAATTCATAAAAATTAAATATTAATATAGTAAATACAACAATAAGTATTATTAAGTCTTACAGAATTTTCAAACGATAAATAAAACTTATAATTTTTTTCAATGAAATCAAAACACGAGTGATATCCTCGGGAACAGTTGAATGGTCCGCAATCACCATATATATCAACGTCTAAATACCTCTGCAGTTGTTTTACTAATACTTCCCGTTTGGATGAAGTGTCACAATGACTGACAATCCAAGCCATATATTTATGTTTGTTTTTATAAATATAATTTGGTTTCCATTTAGTCTTACATTTATTAACCAAACCATAAGGTGTATAGATATCTGAATCAGTCCTGTAACTCATTACCCAATCAATTGAGTCAAAAAGACGGATATTAAATATTTTAAACGGATATTTCATGTATGTATATACAGGCGATTCCATATTATAGAGAATCCATTTCTGATTCAATGGTTTAGTCTTCGGAGTATCAGTCATATCAACATCTCTTAAATGAAATAGTATGGCATCACTTGAATCCATATGCTCTCTATTACTAGTCGTAATACAATTAGAGTACTCGCACTTCTTGGTATCACCAATAGACCAGTCTTTCATGAAATATGTTGTCCACAATAGTATCTTAAATGTCTTATTAATCTGATTATTATTTACTGAATTAGTCCGTTTAATTACATCAACTTGTTTGACATTGAAATGGCTGTATATAAAATAAATGAGCAGGATGATCATAAATACAATGACCACATTTTTAAATTTTTTCATTCTTCTAAAAGTCAAACGATATAGTACTCTATAATTAAGAAATCAAAAAAGCAAGTTTAATACAAGTTTGTAGTCCTATTCTTATTAAACTATCAGTGTCATTTTAAAAATTCAATTATTAAATTCAAACCTATTATATTTTTTATAAAATTGTTGAGATCTTGTAAACATAATTTAATTTTATTATAATTTATAATTTAATAATATAACAGTTTGATATTAAACTTAATGGTAATAGAAAATATTATAGATGATGTAAACATAATTATTTTGCTGAATAAATATTAATTTGTAAACATAATTTAATTTTATTATAATTTATAATTTAATAATATAACAGTTTGATATTAAACTTAATGGTAATAGAAAATATTATAGATGATGTAAACATAATTATTTTGCTGAATAAATATTAAGATGATAAGTGTTTGAAAAACTATTGTCTATTAAAATCAATACTGTGCGGTACAGTACTGTGTCATACTACATTTCTAAATGTACTCAACTGTATTTGTGTGCAAACCTAGTTTAGTTTCTAAAATTATAGTTTACTGTATTAACTTAAATAAAATTGAGTTACTACTATAATAAAGATGATTTAAAAATTTTAGGATAAAATGTTATATTATTTATAATCTTAATTATCTTATAAAAGTTTAAAACTTCATTTAGTAATTAAATCAAAATATCACTCATACATCACAACAAAAAATTAATAACGTTTATTCTGGATAATTGATACAATAAATAATTATTTTAAAAATAAAGTATGAAAATAAATAAATAAATAATTATAACAAAATTAACAACTGGGACAACTAATAGTTCCGTCTGATAGGCCGGGTGTATAACTATAAACAGTAGATCCACAGCATAGGGTAATGGGAGGAATGTTAGCAAAAATATCTGATAGATTCCTCAGTAGACGAAGTTTTCGGATGTATTGCTTGATTGTCAACAAATCAGTGATCATTACTTTAGTGGAGCCGTCGATTGAGTCGAGATGTGGTTCTGTGAGACATTTGATCCTTTCTGTCGGTGTGAATATGGACACAGAAATCAAGTACTGGTTATTGAATTCTCTGCCACCAATGACACGTCCCATATATAGTAAGACATTGAGACCTATTGGTAAGAAATAGAGTATAATTGTGAAGCATTAATTGTTAACCATGTTCAAATAACTGAGTGAATATCATACCAAACATAGTGATCCTATTCTGGTATATAATTTGGACGGATATGCTGAGAGTGTGGGCTCCATCAGCGGTAACGGCGGTGTAATTCAGTATATCCGGCACTTCAACAAAGTCTGAATCACAACTCAATAGCTTCATGTACTCGACGTTCAGAGAAATTGATTTGAGGGCTGAGCTGCCATTGAAGAGACACATACAGTAATCCAAGTCTTCCGTCTTGTGGACAGTAGTCGCTTATAATATACAGTATAAATAAATGATTTTTAAATAAATCATATTGTTTACCAGTATAATTTAGTTTATGAGTGCATTGACTACATACGCGTTCGAGCACTGGATATTTCATGCCCTGTTTAATTAAATTAAATTAAATTAAATTTATTAATTTACATGTTAATGATTTGAATATTAAATCTAAAATACTCACCAAATGAATGCGGATAAGTAAGCGATTTGTTATATTTAGTGGTCTGATCTCCTAAACAAAACACTTTGCGATCACCGATTAAATAAGGCACAGTATCAGGGTTGATTTCCGATGACAGACACGTTTGGTTAATATAGTCTCCAAAGGCCAACATTTGAAGACCAGAGGTCTGTTTGAGTCCATCTATTTCCTCGCACTCAGCGAAAGTGGATTTCGATATGATTTGCGATTCAGCGAAATACATACCAATCACCGGTTGATAACCTGTGATCACTTTCCCTAACCTAACGGTTACCTGACATCCTATTTGCAATTGTCGGCAAATAATTAGTAATAATTAGTAATAGTAGTAATAATTAGTAATAGTAGTAATAATTAGTAATTCAAATTCAAACTACTATTACTAATTATTACTACTATTACTAATTATTACTACTATTACTAATTATTATTAGTAGTAATAATTAGTACAAAAAGAAACAAACAATAAGTTGGGAATACCTTCCGGATAGAGGACTTTAACGAGTCTGACCTCACATATAGTGAGGATAGGGTTGACCTCATTCTTGAGGTATATTCTGTACGGCAAATAGTGTGGGGCGCAGTTGAGGTTGAGACAGGTCAGATTATCAATTTCGTAATCCAGGTCCTGCGTTATGCCGTCAACCGATAGGTTGTTTGCCACACAGTTATCATAGAGTGAAAAGCGTTTCACTTGAGTCCCAGTGATAACTGAAATGAAATTTAGTTTTAACTCAATTATGACTTCATTTTTGATAAATTATTTCTATATTACCTTCGAGTGAATAAAAGCTAATCTGTATTACAGTTACTGTTGAGGAAAATATTTCAGTTTAATTAGTCATTAGAAAAACAAAAGTATCAAAGATTTCTTTACCAATGAAAATGAAATGCAAATTATTATTAGTTTTGATTGTTTTCATTATTTTTAAAGTTTTTTTCTGATAATTAATAGAAAAACTGTTTAGGAAATTAATGTCAATTTAAATCAAAGTACTTTTCATAATAAAGTAAATGTACTACAAAATTAAAACACATTTTTATAAATTAACCTGAATTTAAAATCCAATTTTTGTTTGCATCTTATATAACAGATAAATAAATATTAAATATACATTTTATTTCATATTTTGTAATTGTTGTGAAATAATTGTACTCAAAATATTTATATTACTAATAGATTTGTATTTAAATATTCATTTTGCAGTATTTAGTTTACATAAAATATGGATAAATAGATTATGATAATTATTTAAATACACTTTAATTTTTGTTTGACAACTGAAATATTAAGATTACAATTTCCCTGATANGATTATGATAATTATTTAAATACACTTTAATTTTTGTTTGACAACTGAAATATTAAGATTACAATTTCCCTGATACCCTGTTTTATAAGTTAATGTTTTGCAATCAAATGAAAAATAAAATTTCATGAAAATGCGATCAAATATAAAAGCAGTTTCAGTGAAAATATTGATCAAAATTATTGAGTAAAGGTTTTATTCAACATTTAAGTCATCATGTAAAATATACTGTCTTAAAACTTCTTACAAAATTATTTTAATCAAGTATTTCAATATTGAAAGTATAGAAAATCCAGTTAAACGTTATATTATTGAAGTTTTAATTAGGGTTTTATTTTTCAAAATACAGTTTTCAATGCCATTGCTTAAGTTTGCAATAATAAAGTAAAATAAGTTGTATTAAGTATTGCTATAAAATGGATTTAATGCCAACATATTTATTAAAACTGATCGATAACTTTGGATATAATTAAAGGCTAAGTGTTTTCATAAAAATAACTGTATATAAAGGCAATAATCAGATTATAAAAGTTTAGTGCAATTGAAAAGCCGTCCAATAGTTAAGTGAAATCAAAATGAAGTGTTTGGTAAGGATTAATAATTTATAAACTAAAACTTATTTTAGATTTTAAAAATAAAAACTTTATTATTTAACAATTTCTAGATTTCCTTTCTATTGATTTGTTGGATAACTGTATCATCGAGTGTCCGGTTGTTGGACACCAAAGTGTTTGTAGAGCCGGGACTCTCCCACATCCATGAGTCGGCCGGATATGCCTACAGTGAGCCGATAGTGAGCTATAAGGAGCCAAAACTATATTATAAGCAACCGATTGCTTATAAGCAACCGATTGCTTATAAGAATCCAATCGTTTACAACGAACCCATTGCTTATAAGGAGCCCTTTGGTTACAAGCAATCCATTGCTTACAATGAGCCCATCATTCCCTACAAAGAGCCCATCGCTTACAGTGAGCCCATTGCCTACAACGAGCCAATAGCTTATAAGGAGCCCATACCCATCAAAGAGCCCGTTATCTATAAAGATATTGTGGCCGCTCCTGAGCCCGAGTACACATACACTTCCGATGGATCCATAGTGTGGGATAAATACGGAATATGTGGTCCCAAACTCATATACTGTCAACATTTGTTTGGACACATCAGCAATAAACTGGATTATCAATTGGGAGTACAGGGATTACACGGACTTGGATATGAAGGCGACGCCTATAAATTGATCCCAAGTATAGCCATCAGTAAAGTGGCGGACAATGCCCTACATTTGGGAGACGAGAGTTGGAATCACTTGGGATGGGGTGGAGTGGGCTATGGATTGAGTGGAGTCGGTGTCGGAATCAATAGTTACGACGAGATTCTTAAGAAGAAAAAGAAGAAGAAGAAGAAGAAGTAAAAGAAGAAGAAGAAGAAGAAGAAGAAGAAGAAGAAGTAAAAGCGAACCAATGATATAGTAATGAATGCACTTAAATACTGGTATATTTATAGTTATGATGTCATATTGTATATATTTATAACATTTAAACAATAGTACAAGTGTTTGACCAAGTTTACTATTTTATATGTACTTTTTGTATTGTTTTTGTTAAAAATAAAACTTTCTAAAGTCTACCATCAAATATTTGTTATATTATTTTGACAACTCATACTAGTATATTGTATTTATTCAAATGATTTACACACAAATTAAAGTAGATTTCTAAAGCAATACGGTTATCAATAATATAGTAATTTATTTCATATGAGAAAAGTGAAGCAAAACTTTCGAAATGATTTTGATCCTTGAAAATATATTTTAAGGCGTTTTATTTATAAGGAATTTGAAAATAGTGTTTACGGTTATATTTTCAATAGTTATTTTATATACTTAACTGTATAAACTAGTTTTATTTAAAAATTATTGCCAAAAATTAATAATTATTTTTTGAAAATGTATTATATTAAAATAATATTATAAATACTCTAATGGTTTCAATGCATTAATTAAAATGAAATCAATTTTTAATATATTAATATAAATTGACGGTTAGATTTTAATCTCAAATAACTTATTACATTGATGCAGAATAATAATTAATATAAATATAATTTTTAAATGAATATTGAATGATAAAACACTCTACTCTATAATTGACAGTAAGGTAAATGAATAATAATTAATTAAGACCTTGTTAGAAATCCTACTTCATGTTTTTGTTTATATAGATTGCAAACAAATCATTTTAAAATCATTGTTTCAAAATAATCTAGATAACAAGTTATATTTTAAAGCATAGTTTTATTGCAGTATATAATAAATATTATAAATTTAATTATAATTATTGTTCTTCTAATTATTAGACTTTAATTTATCATTTATTTGATTGAAACACAAAAATATATATATATAATTTTTAATTAATAATTTTTAACTTGAATATTAGTTAACATAGTGCTGGGAGTGTCTCTTAACAAATATAATTTTTTATTTTTATGTTTTAACTATTAAAAAACTACTTTAAAAATTTATAGTGCTTAAGATAATTAAGATTATATAACAAATATGGTTTATTAATTAAATTATGACGACATCATTTACTTTTTATACTTAATTTTTAATTAAAATGAAATAAAATAATATTATTAATTAAAATCAATAATTATAAATATAGTGTGCTTGTGTTATTTTGTAAAATATCATTACATGTAAAATGAAATCTTTATTATCACTGTTGATAACAAATTGTTTAATAAATTATATTTACACTTTATCGGTTAAATGCATAAAATAATTATTTTATAAAATGAAAGTTAGTAAATAATTATAATAATAGTTTGTAGAGATGTGGATAACTTTTGTGGAGCAATCAATGGATATCCCTATTGCCAGGGTAATATGTATGGGACAGAGTTACCCAGAGTCAATTGGCACATGAATCCCTTTAAAGAATTACAGTACATAACAGGATAATTGAACATGATTAATATTTAATTAAAGTAATATTGCAGACACACAAATACTTTAAACTTCTATTTCGAGAAATCGCATTTATAATTATATACTTTTGACATGACCTCGATCAAGGGCGTAGTTATTTTGTGATGATAACTTAAAAACAATAAGTTTTATTTGAGTTATCTAATATTCTTAAAATCAATTATTATTTTATATTCACATTCTATATGATTATGTGAATAACAATTAAAGAATATATAATTAAAACTTAATTTAAATTATTTTATTTATTTTAACCACTTATATATTTCTTAAAATTATGCAAGTAGTTAATTTTAAGCTTATTGGTTAGCATTTACTATTAAATTAAAAGTTTTAACGATGTTTTATATACTGTAGAATAGGATGATTTCAAATATAAAAATAATAAATGAAATAATAAATCCAAAGATTATGATATAAAACAAATCAAATAAATCTGAAAGCGATAGCACTTTGAATTCCAACTGAATGTCCTTAATATGCATGTCTTCTACACTCCTATCCATTCCCGGGTAAGTCATGAGTGAGTTTTGAATCCAATGCTTATATAAACCCATTTCTCGTGATATATAAATACTATAATCATAAACATAAATTAATTAATTAACATAACAAGACACAAATGAACTAGATTAATTTACATGTCATTCAATGTCTGTTCAATTAATTGGTCACTATTTTTATTGAGGGCCAAGAAGTCAGGTAACAGTTCGCCACCATTTGTCGATATGTGAATCAAGTCAAGCAATTTTGGGCTTTTAATTGGATCCATATGCGACAAAATAGTGATTAAATGGATAAGTGTTAACTTATTTCTAGTGATTCCATGGGTTCCGGTCCTTAGGTCTGTGATTAGTTGGCGTTTGAACGACGGGTTCATCATTTGGTCGATTTTGAATCCTTTGATCCGAGATTTAATTGCTTTGGCGAAAGGAGAGTCCGATTTCATAGCAAACTCATAGAGAGTGGTGTCTTCACTCGTATAGAACAGCATATTCTGGACTCTTGTCATGTCTTCTAAGGAATCAATTTTAATGATCGGATCACTTCTTACGGTGTAATCCAAGAGATAACTACAGAAAGCGACTGAAATGTTTAGGGCGACGACCAACCAAATGAATAAAATGTAGTTTTCAAATGAATTGAATTTGTTCACAAATTTTTGTCTTGATGTCGAAAACATTAAAATTGAGAAATTCCAAAAATATTCATAAATTTTTGAGATTTGTCGTGAATATAGTGACAATAAAAGCGAAACCATAATAAGAGATGTGAGGACCAAAAGCCAGACATCATTTGAGAAACAAGTAAAATATGGGAATAAGAGTGGAGTTCCGGGCATTGGTTTTGACGCTATATTTGCCAACTCTTCGTAATCAAAACAATTAGAAATTATAAAATCAT